TCAGCTGTAGTTAAACTGACATTTGGCCATGGTTGCTGACAGAAGGAGTCATTGCTCTTCATGGAAAAAAAAAGCAGCAGTCACTGTGTCAGAGACAGCTTGGGTTCATTCTTCTTTGTTTACATTCAATAAGGAAGAAAACTAGAAAAGTTGAGATAAAATGCAAATATGTTGAAGATTTTTTAAACACTGGAAGACAAACCCACCAGAGAAACGGCTTTTTGTTTTGACTAAGCGGCCATATTAGAAAATGGCTTTGTTGGCATTTCATATCAGTGGCCTCATGTTATTTGGGAATGAGCCTGCCTACAGGTGGTGCAGTCAGAACAACCTAGAGATCTACTCTCTTAAAGACAGTGGAAATGGTTGTGGATTTCAGAAAGTGCCCAGCCTCACCTGTGTCCTTAGACTCTACACTGTTGAGTCCTTCTGCTTCCTGTGCACCCTCCTCACCAAGAACCTTGAGTAGGAGCTGAACATCAGATCCTTCATCACCATCTGCTACACCACTGCCACTGCCAAGGACAAGGGCAGGCTGCAGCCTATCATTCGCTCTGCTGAGAAGGAGATTGGCTGCAATCTTCCATCCCCCCAGGACCTTTACACCTCCAGGTCCCTGAGGCAAGCAGGAAAGATTGTAGCCAACCCCTCCCAACCCAGACAGGACTGTGGGTCTCATCCCGCTCAGTCAGTACATTAGAGTTTTAAACTGCTCTGATATTTAATAAAAAACAGGTAAAGGTGATCTCAAGCAGCAGATGTGAATGGTCACAATGTGATACATTCCCTCTTCTTGTGTAGACAGGAAGTTAAAAGACAAAATAAATCTGTGCGTTTAGTTTTGCTGAAACTCGACCGCATCCAATTATGTTTTTGTGTGTTTTGTATTTTTTGCCTTTCCTGCCCAGCAAGGTTGGAGTGACGAGCCAACATTGAAATATCACCTGACTCTTTAGTTCCTCTCAGCTGTATGGAGCTTCAGGTCTAAAACCCACTGTACACCAAAGAAGCAGAGTGACAAATATGGAGACCAGCTGGAGAACATAGTGGAGCATTTAACAGCTGAAGAGCTATATTTCCCTCTGGAGTTGGTGGAGACCAAAAACAGAGCTAAACAGGAGTGAATATTGATCTTACATTTGCAGGTGAGGGTCATCTAACACATTCCTCATATCAACATAATGATATGTCATTATTGTGTTTACAGCTTGTTTCAGCTGCCCCCAAGTGGCCAACAAATAAATTATTTTTAACTTAATGTAAACTTAAACTTCATTTTTTGTAGTGCAGTGTTGTATGTATAAATATGTGCAATATTGTACATTCCTAGTTAGCCTGTAACATTGTGCGCAATAAAATATTGTCGCTCTAAAGTATTATTTCTCAGGGTTATAATCACAATTGTAGCAAATATTGCAAAATGTTGGCATTTTGGTATCTCCTGTCACTTCCAACTCAAAATAACACTGTAGGTATCCCTCTAGCGTAATTTCTGGACGCACAAAGTGTAAAACCTATCGTGACGTCACCCATTGGTTTGTGGAGAACCGTTTTGAAGCATCGAGTTCAGCGTTTTGGACGCCATGACAGTAAAACGGGGCCAGCGCGAGCCAGTGGATGTGACGTACTGAGAGTTAATCTGCTCTCATTGGCTGGGCAGTTTTGACAGCTAAACAGTACACTGAAATATGTTTGTGAAACGATTTTAAGCGAGAAGTAGGCAACGCAGTAACAGAATCGAGCTTCGTATTTGATCGGCACTGCCTAGTTTGACAGTTTCGTGCATTGCGCTGGACAGATTAACTGAGAATGACTTATCAATCATATGGTAGCCACGCCCAAAAGCATACTTCGACCATCATTTACTAAATGAACATTATGCTGTATGGAAGAAGACTGAAACTAGAGAATGATACCATAAACTTATCAGGAAACTGTGTCAAGTATCAAGTCGGCTCATTCTCCATTAGAGTGAATGGGCTCACTGTGTTATTGCAGCCAATTGAGCTCCCCTTGCAGGAATTTACATAGAATGCAGGTTTTAAGACATTTCTGGGTTGGCTGACCAAGCTGCAGTATTTGGCGAGTTGAAAAACAGAATTGATTCATAACTAAATCCCCACATTCCATTCTATTTAATTCCACAGGTCTCCTTTTTTGCCTCATAATATAACTGGTGAAGACTATAAAAGAAAAAAGGAAGAATAAAATATGGGTTTTGGTTTGAGCGAGAAGAAAAGCAACTGGTGTGCTTCTGAACGGCCTCTCTGCATTTCCAGGGAACTTTGATTTCCTGATTCATGCCTGGTCACCACTAAGGATAGAATTTAGAAATAGCATTATGGAAATGGAAATATATCATTCGGTGAGTTGGAGCAGATAGGGAACCAGAAACACAGAGAATTTACCCTTTCTAAATCTGTACAGCATGTGCAACCATGTTGAATTAGGACAAAGAAACAGGGAGAATATTAAAATCCAATTTTTCACTTTGATTTATACCTGTGTATAAAGTGAGACCTGCAGGTATGTATGAGGCTTAAACAATAAACCACTAATTTATAATACAGCAAATAGAATATTTAAGGCAGTTCTTTGGAATCTAAAGCCTTAAGCCAAGTGAGCATACGAATAAAAACAGCGTGAACATGTTGGACCTGACAATGCAAAGTCAACGTGTTGAATGAGCGTCCCGAGTCCGCTCTTTGTACAGATTATCCCTGGATTTTAAAGCTGAGTACAGAGCTGTGTGCTGTGAGCCCTGTCACCCTGGGGGAGCTCATTACCAGCACTCCAGGCTGGGATTTGAAGCATGTCAGCCCATACTCTGCTGTAATTAATTCCACTCCTTTTGGCTCTTTTTTCTCCTCCATTAATCTGTGTATTTAATTAAAGTCTGCTTGCTTTAATGGCACATAGAGCAAGAGGCAGAAAAAGGACAGAGAGGAATGGGAAGAGAGAGTGTGGATAGAAAATTAGCCTTAAAAGTTACAGCCGATGTTATGTAGAAATCCTCCCAATTATCAGAGTAAAGAAGCTGGTCTTCCCCTGTCCCCTTTAACCAAGACACTGTCATTTTTACTCAAATTAAGATCTGGCATCACTGTAGTCAATGACCAATGACCAATCTCTTCATCTTCTTCATCCCAGCAAGACACTAATAAGACATCCAGCTCAAAAAAGTTCACTACCATCAGGCTACATGACTTCACATTTAAAACTTCCATGTGGTGCTACCAAAATAACCAAATGCTCGAGCTGCTCTTCAGACAGGTGTGGTTAAATGCAGTTTTGCAAAATAGAGCTTGCTGTGAGGCTCTGGGGATGGTGATGTTCTTTGGTCCAGAATAAAATATCTTGAAGAATGTTGGGTGGATTACCATGCAATTTTGTACAGATAATCATTTTCATTCATTTTGTGGCTAAACCTAACCTTAACCATGCAAGATTTATTTTAATTTTATTTAACCGGACGTTTCATATTTATGCTTGGTAATTTGATTGCGGAGCCCTGCACATCCAAAAATGATGCTAGAGGTGTACCTGCGGCGTCATATTTTGAATATGCGTGTAGGCACTGACCAAGCTGTAGTATTTGAAGATTTGGGAGTGAGAATGTGTTGCCATCACTATGCATCAAGAAATCATTTGAGACTCTTAGAAAAGTGGTTTCTGTTGCGTGGGACTGGCAGAAACCAGACTGAAACTTTAAGATATTGTGCTCATCTAAAGCAGTTGTGAGCTTCGTAACAACCACATTTTCTAAGACGAAGGCTATAAAAGTCAACCTTGAGATAGGCTTAATAATTATAGGCTAGAGAATGGTCAAGATTAGATTTTTTGATAAGTCAGCTTTTTGATTATAGAGCGCACACAAGGACCAACAGAGCCAATGACATTTTTAAACAGAGATGCTGGTATGATGCCAAGGTGGCAAAAGGGATGTTTTTTTTTACGGTTAACCTTTTGTAAGATCATGGAGTATTATAGCAAGTAAACCAATGCCTTAAATGAGCCAGTACTCACCGGCACTTCTGATTTTTGTCCACACGAGTACCCTTTATTCTTATTTAGTACCACCACCTCTGGTAAGCATGGCCGTACCCACCATTGAGGTCGCCAAGGTCTGGAGGTCAGTATTTTTTCCAGGGGTACACAATAAAAATTGTGAAATAATTTGACTTGCTTTGACGTTCAGTTTTTCAGCCTTGGTATTTCTAAAACCCTGCGTACTGAAATGCTGGTTAGGTACTCCTACTGGTTAGAGTTATGTTGTGTTAGGGTTAGGGTTGGGGTGAATTGGGGTACTGGCACTTTTCTTGGTCCAGTTCAGGCACTGAGGGAAATTCTCCAGGATTGTTAGCGAGTGGAGCAGGAGATAGGGGAAAGTGAGGGGAAGATTTTTGATCTCATGTCATTTTAGAAAAAAATCAGAACAGCAGTTGATGTAGGAGTAACAGGACTACTGATAGCATCAAATAAAATTTTGGGATTGTGCCGACAAGATTAGAGAAGCAGATAACTGTGGCATCCTTTACCAAACTACTGAAATTCATTACAAGTTATTTTAAATAAAGATAGGGAACTTGAGTAAGACCATTTCTGAGGCTGTAGCAGTTTGACCTCTTAAACATAAGACGTGAAATGCAGAGGGCATGGTGAAAATAAGCCGACCTGCTGTTAGAGGTCATCAAGAGTTGTAAGCTGCAGCATCCTGCTTTTCACTAGTCTTCCTTATTCTGCATGTATCCAGAGGCTGGCCTGAGCTCTGTCTGTCCCTCCTGTACAATCCTGTTTACCTTACACTGCACATTTTCTCACATGGTGTATTTTTGGACTGTTTTTCTCAAACAGAACGCTGATAACACATGAAACATGTCAGCCTGCTGCTGCTGTTTCAGATAAGGAAAGCTCCTGACTGTGATGTTCTGGTCGGTGTGTACTTTTACAGGGACATGATCACAACAGACAGCAGCCAGAAGCAGGTAGAATCTGAGAAATAACGTGTACAAATATTTACATTTTATTTAGGGTATTTTCCACAAAAGTATGCAGTCACAAAAAGGTTTTCAAACTCATCACTGGATGTGTTACTACCACATTATACAGTATGCCGCACTGAGACAAAACCTAACCAGAAGCTTTGACAGACAGTGTCTTTACAACAGTGGTCTCAACATTGTACAAGGTCATCTGTGGAGGGCTGTATTCATTTTTGGCAAGCTTTGGTAAAAAAATACATCCATCAGAAATACAGGCAGGAGATAAAGAGAAGAGAAATGAGTGGATAAGGTTTGGTTGTTATTGGAGGGTAAGGGGAATAATTATTTAAATCGATTGAATCAATAGACCCTTTATTGACAGAACATCTCAACTCAGTCTGCTCACTCAGTTGTTCTAAAGCTTTCATTCATATCATGTGGTCCTCATCTGCTGATAGACCCTTTTCATGGCAGACATTTTGACATGTCAAAGCAGGTAAAGCACAGCTGTAACTTATAAAACTAATAATGGATCCCAGTGTCCCAGTCAGTCCCTCCAGGATTTCGCAGACTTTTTTTTAGATTGTTGCAGCATAAAATGCCTGATGTCACTGCAGCTTTAAAAAAAAAAAAGTTTTGATTATTTGTGTATAAGTTGTTCCAGTAAAAGAAAAACAATTGTTTGGAGGGTGAAAGTGAGACGTTCGCATTGCATATGGTCTGCATCGTTACAACTAGAAACAAGGAAGCAAGTTTAGTGATGTGTGGCTCAACATTTACGCAGGAAACTACAAAAATTGGTCAAAATTGCAAGGTTGTGTCTTCCGGTTAGCACCTGACATGGAGTAGCCGCAGGTCCAACACGCTCCGTAGAGCTTAACTTACATTGAGTAGGACACAACATTTTAACTTTTTGGTGGCGTAACTCTACTGCACATATATTGTAGAACCACTTGTGTGTGTTATGGCGAGTAAAACTCAGAAGAAGTCGACCAAGTGCGCAAAGTTTAGCTAGCCCATCACTCAAGCAAACGCTCATGGCTAATGCTAGCGCTACCACCACCCGGGCCTCCCATCTTCGCCACAGCTACCCGAGGAAAACGCTCTTGTCCAGCTACTTAAAGCTGAGATGGAGTCTTCTCATCAACAACAGGCCGATATAATCAAACAAGAGATGGTGACTTTTCGTGCTGAAATCAAACAAAACCTCGAGGCTCTCCAACGAGACAAAAAGGCTGACATCGCCTCTCTTCAGGAGAATAATTCCAGCATTTTTTTTTTTTTGAGCTCAAACGGGAGATCGGGAATTTATTCATTTATCATTTATTCTTTATAGACCTATTAATAATGAGGAAGGAAGAGAGACACTTATTTCTTATTTATTTCTTATTTTCTGGTATGGGACGTATTTGGATGAACATTTACACATATCAAGAAACTGGCTGCATATATTTTTCCTGAGTCTTTTTGATCCTAGGCTCAGCTGAGGTACAGAATTGGTATGTTCATGTTTTCATCTTGATATGCAGCTCACAAGCTCATATCCTCGTTTCTAGCAGACCACAATATTTTATTTGTGTGTGTATATTTAGTTTCCTTTATTATCACGAGTGGTTCTCCATGTTTATATCTGGATACTGAAGGCAGGGATTTTAGTTTTTCTTTAATTGTGACTACTGAAACATATAACACTCTAAGGAGCAGTGTGTTTTTTTTGTAGTGTTTTTTTTCTCTGCATATTAAAGCGCAACGAAGAATACCAAGTGTGTATGGGGCTTCTTACCTCTCGTTTGGGGAGAGGTAATTCCGGGAAGGGGGCATGATGTTTTTTTTGTCTGTATGTTAAACTTATTATTTTGTATTAATGGGTGTGTGTGGTGGCGTAAGCGATATCCTGTGGATGCTTTAACAGCAGTCAATTCCCTGCTTAACTCTGATTATGGTTAATTCAGTGCTGACCAGGAGTAATGGCGATATTACAGTGAATCAGTTGGAACACCAAGAGAGTTAATCACATTATCAAACGTAACAGTTTTAACAATGCTTCATTCAGTGATGAAGGGTTTGTTAACCACATAAACACACAAATAGATTTTTTCTTGTCCACGAATGACACACCAGATGTTAGCAAATCTATTCTCTGGGAATTGCTTAAAGCTTTTCTAAGAGGAGTGATTATTTCATACACCACCTGGGAGGGCAGGAGTAGAAAACAGCGCTTTAAGGATCTCACAGACCAAATTCATCAGCTGGACTGTAAATATTCGACTGCTCCCACCCCTGAACTTTTAAAGGAGAGGTCAGCTCTGCAAACAGAGTTCGACTTGTTGACCACTCATTATACAGAGCAGCTACTGCTTCAGTCTCGCTCTAATCTGTATGAACACTCAGACAAGGCAGGCAAGGTTCTTGCCCAACAGATTAGGCAGTTCACACCCTCTACCCTGATCACAAGTATTCGTAAATATGATGGTCAGATCTCTAATGATGAGCAGGAGATAAATAATGAGTTTAAAGTATTTTATTCTTCCCTTTACACCTGGAATATTATTTGGAATAAGAAACCACCTCATATCCGTGAGGAATTTTTGCAAAGACCCAAATCTGTGGGTGGGATGGCTTTACCCCATTTCCAACTATACTATTGGGTAATTGGGTGAGTAACCTAAGAGCCTTGGCTTATTGGCTTCAAACCCATGCTAACAATGAAGCCCCCGCCTGGGTCCAAATGGAGGCTGATGCAAGCCTCCCATTATCCCTCCCAGCCTTGTTGTATTCGGCAATGCCTATCACACCACGCCGTGCATCTACTGCCCCCCTAGTCTATCAGTCTCTGCGTATATGGGCTCAGGTGCGAAAACACTTCGGCTGGCAGGCTGGCTCGATTGTGCCCCAATCGTGAAAAACCATCAATTTCCCCTCTCACTTGAACATGACTCTTTCTTAGTCTGGTGCGAGAAAGGTATTGTCTCATTTAAAGATCTGTACATAGCAGATACTTTTGCCTCATTTGACCAGCTCAGACCTAAATTTGATTTACCAAAATCACATTTTTTATGATTTCTACAGGTCCGGGATTAGATTCGGAACCAAACACGATCATATCCTGCAATCCCTGAACAACAGCCCATGGATACCTTGTTTCCAACAGCTCCATCTAACAAAGGCATAATATCCGCTATATATGAAACTCTCATCCCTACAGTTGGCATCTCTTGATGCATTGAGAGAAGCATGGCAGGCTGATCTGAATTTACAAATTACAGATACTGAATGGTCAGACATATTTTCAGGAATACACTCCTCATCAATTTGTGCCAGACATGGCCTTCTTCAATACAAAGTTGCACACAGACTGCACTTGTCTAAAGCCAGACTCGCAAAGATGTACCCAGCAATGGATAATTTGTGTAATAGATGCAATTTTTCAGCTCATACATTTTGGTCTTGTCCGAGACTCTCAGGTTACTGGTCTTCTATATTCGATGCCCTATCCAAGATATTTAAAAGACCAATAAACCCGAACCCTCTCATGGCCATATTTGGTATTCAATGTGAGGGTGATCATCTTCCTAGGGCACAATCCGATCGCACTGCTTTTGTCACCCTCTTGGCGAGAAGAATAATTTTACTTAATTGGAAGCAGGCTACCCCGCCCTCCTACAAACAGTGGGTTAGAGATACACTACAACTCCTGAAGCTAGAAAAGATTAGACTGGCTTTCAGCGTCCTAATGATTATTTTGGCAGGATATGGAAACCTTTCATTACATATCTGCTCGAACAAACATGAGGTTTTGTCCTATAGGTCAGCTATATATACTGTCTTTTACTATTACTGAAAGCCACATGTTTGTTATCTCTCACACACCGTACGTCTTGTCTTTGTTTTTTTTTGTTTTTTCGTTTGTCTGTTTTGATTGCTCTTGTCATTGATACAAGGTCCATTCATTTCTTCTTTTTTTTCTGCTTGTCCCTAGGGGTGGGGGGTGGGGGTTGAAAAAAGTTTGTTCTTGCATTTCTGTATATATGCTGTCACATCTTCAATTGTGAAAACCAATAAATAAAGATAATATATATATATAAAAAATAATTGCAAGGTTCTGCAGAATTCCCAGGGATTGATGGAATTTGCGTTAATTGTTGTCAGCGAGTGACAATGCACAATACAAAACTGTGAAACTGGTTCACCTACATGGAATGCAGCCATCAATCATCATCATTATTAATTCCATCTGTACCTTTTCTGCTTTGACAAGTCAAAGTGTCTGCTGTGGAAAGGGTCTGTTGAGTTTAAGTCAACATGGGTGAGAAGCCCTGGCGGCTCTGAGAGTTGTGGAAAGATAGACATCTACAGTAGCTCTACCACAGCTGAGCAAACTGACATGCTGATGAAGACCAGGTGATAAGGTCAAAAGCACCAGAACAAGGACCTTGAGTTGACAAATGAAAAATTCTTGCTGCAACAATCCATTAAGTCTATTTAATCTGTTATTGATTAATGTTCAGTAAAAAGACTATTCAATTAATTGATTCAATGTCTGGCACTAGTGGACAGCTTGATTAAAATCTGATTAATAAATTCTGTTTTCTTCAGTGCCAGGTCTAAAGTACAGACTGACAGCAGAATATTTGGATCTCTGAACTGAGGACCACAATGAGAATCAACTTTAAGAAGAAGTAGTATCTTTTCTCTTTCATGTACAAATAAATTTGACACGTGTGACAAGGCTATGGTAACAAGGATACAATATCAAAAAGTGTCTCTTCTTGAAAAAGTGTTTTTCATTTCATTCACTGTTCTTGACCAAAGGGTTCAAAGATTTGCTTTAAAAAATGCTGTGCCATAATAAGAGTACAAAAATACATAACTATGCAAGACAGGAACTATTAAAAGAGTCTTTCTTAATACTACAGCACTGTGTTTTTTGGCCAACAGCCACGGAGACGTGGGAGCAGTTCGGCCATGTTCCTCTGGGCACGAGGAGCTGAAGGCGGCGCCGCAGGAACAGAACAACAACATAGGACAGCAGTAGTGGCATTCAGAGTAAGCGGACAGCTGATAATGCAGCATTTCAAACTGTGTAAGTGTTTGCTCCAGCAGAGCGAGGTGAGCTGGTGTGGGGAAACACCAGCAGGATTAACATCCAGTTCAGATGGCATAGTCGTCCTGAGCAGCGGGGCTGAAGGCAGAGCTCCGCAGGGCGTCCAGGCAATTGACCAGGATGAGTGTGCCGGTCAGGTGCTTCCAGCGTTTGGTGATCGGGTTCTTCATCTTGTCCAACCCCATGTGCAGCTCCTGGATCACGTCCCTGTAGCTGTCGCCGATCTGAGCGGCCCATGTGACCAGGAAGTCATATGCGGGTTTCCACATGGCCTGCAGACAGTGAGAGAACAAACATCCCATGATCTGCTGATACATTCACAGGTCTGAAAACTCACTGTACTCCTTGTACATGTGCCAATTCATTCTTGTATTATGGCTAAAAACCTATTTTGAGGTCACAGCGACCTTTGACCTTTGAGTCACCAATTCCGTGTCTGACCAACTGTGAGTTATGGTCACAATCTCCCCTCCTGTTCCTGAGGTATGGTGTTGAATAACAACTAAAAAGTGCTTATAAGTTTATGTATTTATAGTTTTTGGAGTTTATGATGTCACATTGAAGTTGATCTTTGACCTTTGGTTAAAAAATTTAATCACTTCATTGTTGTATCCTATCAAGCATCTGTGTGAAAGTTTGTTATACCATATCAAAAAACATCTCTGTCAAGGTCATTTTGAGGTCACAGTGACTCAAAGTGAGTCAAAAATGTTACAAATTCATTGTCTGACCAACCAACTGTGAAATATGGTCATTAATTATTTTTTATGCCGTCATAGTGACCTTTGACCACCAAAATCTAATCAGTCCATCCTTGAGTCAAAGTGGATGTTTGTGCCATGTTTAAAGAAAATTCCCTCAAGGTGTTCCTGAGATATGGCGTTCACAAGAATAAGAGGGGACATAATGTCTCCGGCAATGGCTATCGCCAGCGCGGGGGTGGCATCAATAGTAAACTGTGTCTTTAGTGTTGTTCTCCTCTCTAGATGTATGTGCTCATGCAGAATGATGTCTTGAAGGCAACACACACCAACATCATATGATCAGAACAACCCAGTGTTTTCTATGTAATACCACATATCTGCAGCATGCTGACACACACCAAAGCATCAGGATACACTACTGTCCTGTTGTAGAAAGTTTAAATATTAAGGAGATCATTTTCCATTAAAATACTGTGAAAACGTCTGGAACACAGTGTTAGTTTAGCCCTGAGATTGTGCTTGTGTTAGCTGACTGGCAGCTGTTTGATTCATGCTCCACAATCACTGTACACCTAGCAACCAACTGGTAATGTCTGATTATATTCACACAGGTACACAGCATAGCCATTTTAACCTGTCACTTCTTACTGTCACTCTGCTGTCACGCTCATGCTTCCCACCCAAACCTCCTCTTTATGCGTTACATTTTAGTACTGTTGATTTCTTTCATGAGCAGTAATCACTCATTTGTCAGGCTGACCGGTACATACCGGACAATAAAAGAGGGGTTCACCCCTCACTGTTGCTTTGGCATTTCAAGAGAATTATCTAAAAACATAGGCTTTGATTGTGAAAAGTAATCTTGTGTAAGACAGATGTACCTCACTGTCCACTACCCCGTTCTTGTCGCGATGTGGTGCCTCGTAAGCATCCATCTGCTGGCGTGAAACCTTGGCGAGCCTCTCAGCCAGCTCCCTCCAGCGTCCCGCCACCTCCACCGCTGTGGTCAAGAGGACAAAGTCCATCACCAGTCTGGCCACGAGACCCTGACAGTCCATCTTCAACAGGGCCTGCAGAGAGAGGACACAAGAGGACTTTAGACTGAGATAAATAAATAAGAGGAGTGAAAAGTTCAGACTGAAATTATGGAGGTAGGTAGAGATTAAGATCTTGGATTCTGGACACACATGGGGCCTGTATTAAGAAAAGTCAAATATGAGCTTGGGCTGGGAATCAGTGGACAGGGTAAGAGAGAGGACGGTAGTGAATTGATAACAAGGAGTCTAGTGAAGATGGAAATGGAGCAAAAGACAGTGAAGTTTGACTAAAACCACACACTACAAAGGGACTAATAAATCTACATCTGCAGGTTTCATTCCACTGGCCTGATCCTCTGTTATTTTCCACAGTCTGCCTCCCCAATCCCCCTGCAAATGTCAGCTTTGTGCATTTTTCAGATGCTTTCTGGTGGAAATAGAACAGCAACACTCAGGATTTATGCCACATCTGAACTAAGGGCAGGAAAACATCTGGTAACCAACACTGATAGACAGGGCAACACAGACAATGATATACAACAGGACACAACAAGTGCTGTATTCAACAAGACTTAGGTCTAAAGGCCCCTAAAACTAGGCAGACACTGTACCATTTTATAACCTGTCTATTAGACCTGATCCCAACTAGGCTGCTTAAAGAAGTTGTTCCCTTAATTGGCACTTCTTTACTGGATATGATTAATGTTTCTTTATTATCAGGATATGTACCACAGTCCTTTAAAGTAGCTGTAATTAAACCCCTTCTTAAAAAGCCCACTCTTGACCCAGGGGTTTTAGCCAACGATAGACCGATTTCTAACCTCCCCTTCCTCTCTAAGATTCTGGAGAAAGTAGTCGCCAAAGAGTTGTGTGACTTTCTACATAACAATAGTTTATTTGAGGATTTTCAGTCAGGATTTAGAGTTCATCACAGCACAGAGACAGCTCTGGTTAAAGTTAATAATGACCTTCTGATTGCTTCTGACAATGGACTTGTCTCTGTACTTGTATTATTAGATCTTAGTGCTGCATTTGACACCATTGACCATAATATTTTTTTACAGAGACTTGAGCATCAAATTGGCATTAAAGGAACCGCACTAAGCTGGTTTAAGTCATATTTATCAGATCGCTTGCAGTTTGCACATGTTAACGATGAATCTTCAATAAATACTACAGTTAGTCATGGAGTTCCACAAGGTTCTGTACTTGGACCAATACTATTTACTTTATATATGCTCCCTTTAGGCAACATTATTAGGAATCACTCCATTAACTTTCACTGTTATGCAGATGATACGCAGCTATATCTATCAATCAAGCCCGATGAAATTAATCAATTATCTAAATTACAAACATGTCTTAAGGACAAAAAATCCTGGATGAGCTGCAATTTTCTGATGTTAAACTCAGGAATCTTCGAGTTATCTTTGATCAGGATTTGTCATTTAACTCCCACATAAAGCAGACCTCTAGGACTGCCTTCTTTCATTTACGTAATATTACAAAAATTAGACACATACTATCATAGACATGCAGAAAAACTAATCCATGCATTTGTTACTTCTAGGCTGGATTACTGCAACTCTTTATTATCAGGTTGCCCCAATAAGTCCATTAAAATGCTCCAATTAATTCAGAACGCTGCAGCACGAGTACTGACAGGAACTAGAAAAAGAGATCACATCTCTCCTGTACTAGCTTCTCTGCACTGGCTCCCTGTAAAATGTAGAATAGAACTTAAAATCCTCCTCCTCACCTATAAAGCTCTTCATGGTGAGGCCCCTTCATATCTTAAAGAGCTCATAGTACCCTATTACCCCACTAGAACACTACGTTCTCTGAATGCTGGGCTACTTGTGGTGCCTATAGTCTCTAAAAGTAGAACAGGAGCCAGAGCCTTCAGTTACCAAGCTCCTCTCCTGTGGAACCAGCTTCCAGTTGTGGTTCGGGAGGCAGACACCCTCACCACATTCAAGAGTAGGCTTAAGACATTCCTTTTTGATAAAGCTTATAGTTAGGGCTGGATCAGGTGAGTCCTGAACCATCCCTTAGTTATGCTGCTATAGGCCTAGACTATCGGGGGATTTCCCATGGTGCACTGAGCTCCTCCCTTCCTCTCTCTTTCTGTACTCATTCATGTTCCATTAATGCATGTTACTAACTTCCCTTCTTCCCCGGAGTTCTTGTGCTTTCTCGTCTCGCAGGTTCTTATCGATCCTGGTGGAGCCTCCTGCCATGGTCCTGCTAGACTGCCATTGCCAATACTGTTGTTACTGTGCACCTGTCTGTCTGTCTCTCTCTCTCTCTCTCTCTCAACCCAACTGGTCGAGACAGACGACCACCCACCTAGAGCCGAAGGATCTGTCCTAGGTTTCTGCCTTTTAACAGGCAGTTTTTCCTTGCCCTTGTCGCCAAGTGCTTGCTCATGGTGGTACTGTTGGGTCTCTGTAATTAATGTTTTAAAGAGTTCGGTCTAGACCTGCTCTATTTGAAAAGTGTCCTGAGATAACTTCTGTTATGAATTGGCGCTATACAAATAAAACTGAATTGAATTGAATTGAAATTGAATTAAATGATGTTGAATTCCAACTCCTACAGTACGAGTACATTGTCTGTGATATAAAGCCACAATTGACAATTGTGAATAAAGTTTTGTTTGAAAGCTCTGAGGCAGGTAGAAAATTAGGCTCGTTCCGGATGAACTGCACCTCGCCTGGAAAGTGAATCAGATCAGGCGGCAGCAGCAGGAGGCGGTGACAAAAAGTTGCAGTCAAGTCGGACAGTTTCCTGCAGCCTTCAAAGAATAAACAGGAAGTCACAGAAATGTTTGCATCTGACCCTTTCTCAGTCCCACCCCTTTTGGAACCTCTGTCAGAGGCTTGCTAAAAACTGTTATTGGAGCACAGAGAAAAAAGAGGCGTGACCTAGGAAGGGTCAATTGCGAGACAGAATCATGCTGTTTTTATCGCCTGCCATTCAAGGAGGAGGGGGAAACATCAAAGAGGCTCCCATGCTGTTGCCACAGTGACCAGCCTCCTTATTTTCCACCCTGACAAGCCTTTTCACCATGGCACTTTCAGACGCTCTGTTTGCCAATTTGGGCAGGCGCAAAGACAAAAGGCACAGACTTTGGAGAATCAATTTGTGGCTATGATTCAAATGTGCAGGAGCCTGACGTACACAGAAATGCATCCGTATGTCCTGCAGCTGTTCAGGCAAAGTCTGTTGGTCCTAGCTCCACCCCGTATTCTGCACGGCAAAATACACCCAGTGAAGCTGAAATTTCGTGCAACTCTATAGTGAGTCATGCAGCTAAAAAATCAGGTGAGAAACAGGCTCAGCTGTGAAGTGTATGCCTAGCCTTAGGCAACATATTGATGACTGAGGGTAGAGAAATGTCAGTAATAAAGAACAATCATCAAGCTTTATCTAAACCCAGCTTTAAACAGCTCAACAACATCTCCATCATCAGGCTCCGCTGCTGGCGAGGTAGTGAGTGAAGAAGAGAAATGCAATGTGCCAGTGCAGCTCCTGTTTGTTTGGGTCTAACCAGTCTGGACAGGAGATCGGCTCCTCCCATCAGCCTCTGTAACCTCTCTGTCTCCATCAGTTCTACCCAGATGACTGGTGTTTGTGGGAAAAGAATAGATAGACATTCACATTTATATTTACACACTCAGGCACACACACCACACACATTTGTACTTCTATACTTGTGAGGATCCGCATTCAAATAATGCATTCCCTAGCCACTAGCAACAATTCAATTCAATTCAATTTAATTATTTGTATAGCGTCAATTCATAACAGAAGTTATCTCAGGACACTTTTCAAATAGAGCAGGTCTAGACCGAACTCTTTATAACATTATTTATGGAGGCTCCACCAGGATCCATAAGAACCTGCAAGACGAGAAAGCACAAGAACTCTGGGGAAGAAGTGAAGTTAGTAATATGCATTAATGGGACATGAATGAGTGCAGAAAGAAAGAGGAAGAGAGGAGCTCAGTGCACCATGGGAAATCCCCCGATAGTCCAGGCCTATAGCAGCATAACTAAGGGATGGTTCAGGACTCACCTGATCCAGCCCTAACTATAAGCTTTATCAAAGAGGAATGTCTTAAGCCTACTCTTGAATGTGGAGAGTATATTTACGTTTATCTTTAGCCAGCAGTTTTAAATAGGATTCAATGTCGCCCGCTCTGGCCCCAGGGATACATTTAACTATGGCCGCTGGCTTCGCTAACTTCACGTTTCTGACTATGGAGCTGCCAATAATCAGAGTTGGTTCCTTAGCGGGTGTGTCGTTGAGTGGGGAAACTGTATTAGAAACCTGAATTGGTTGGTGGTGAACTGTGGGCTTCAACGTTTTAGTCTTCCTTCGCTCAGTCACCCAGCTTCCCTGTTTTCCCGGCTGCTCGGGAACTACCAAGGGATCCACCGGGGGATCTACCGTAGAACGGCTAGCAGAAGCTACCTTTGGTCGGACCGCACCGGCTACTGGGGGCTGGCTAACTATAGCGGCTAAAGATATCTCTGTGGTGCAGTGCCGTTCCTCTAACTTACAAAGCCTTGCCTCCAGCGCAGTAAATAAACTACACTTAATACATGTACCGTTATCTTTAAAGGAGGCAGAAGAATGACTGAACATCTGGCACACTGAGCAGTACAGAGGAGAGGAAGAGGGAGAAGCCATAGCTAACTGCTAATGTTAAGGAAGCTAGAGTGTATGAAAAACTTTTGAAAATAGCGAAAACTCACTTTCTAAAATGTCTCCTTTTTAAAATCTTCTTCACATATTTCCCACAAATTTCCAAATTTTAGAAAATAAAATTGAAAAAATGTCAATTTATAAAAAATTGCTTCTCTTTCAAAAATGGTCCCACCTTCCAAAATGTCCTCACTACAAAATACATTTTCTAAAAAATATCCTTATTTTTTTAAATGTCCTCAATTGATAAAAAATAAAAGATGTCCTCACTTTCTAAAAATGTTCTCAACTTTTCAAAATGTGCCCACTTCCCACACATG